AAGTAGCCATTGGGTTACTGGGAAAATCTGACTCTCAATTGCCGATGTTTCAATCTATCGTTTTCAATAATCATCTGCAGTTAGAACACTACGAGGAGGCCTACCACTCGCTCATCTATAATGCGGAGCTATCACGTCGCAAAGATTGCCTTCGTCAGCTAGTTGTGACATTATTTAACCGTAAAAGACTCGACTTACTCATGCATTTTCCCTATGTTGGGTTACACGAGGAATTCGAAAATATTGTGGAATCGCGTGCACGGTCACTAGTAATCGATCAGAATGAGGTATATGATTTTCTATATGCATTTCATGTCAACAACGGAAATATGAGAAAAGGTAATTATTTGAATAAATATATCATATTCCTTTTAAATTTATTGATTTTTCTTTACTTACAGCTTCTGCCATAATGTATGAGCAGGCAATGCGTTTCCAGCTTGAAGGCGATTCTATCGAATCTATGGAAAAACGTTGCGCTTCCCTTTTAGTTTGTATCAACTCTCTGCATCTAATTGATAGGCGATATCGTTGGATAGCGAAACCAGTGATTGGATTAGATGACGCACAACCATTGAGCGCGTTAAATGATTCAGAGCCGATGGATACTAAACCAGATGATGATGCCATACGTGAACAAGTTGTAGTTTTAGAAATAAAAGATATAAAACGTGAATTATTGCATACGGAAGCACTGATGCGACTCGCAGATCATCGCAAAGACATACAAACTTTTATCCATGCAGGTCCACAAGAATTGGCGATTATTTTATCTGGCTGTGGACTCTATACTGCTGCACTTAAGCTCGTCAATGGCTTCGAAATATCAACTCTTTCCATATTCGAAAGTCTAACTGCAGCGTGTGTACGCGTTTCTGAGGAAAGCGCTAATGAGGCATGGGCGTGGTTACAGGAAAATGACTTGGCTGGTAGATGGACATATGGAGTATATTTACAGATAATCTTTGATGTACGGTTTCTTGCTATAATTTAGATTTACCTCATCGCAATAAAGCTGCTGATATGGCCTGGTCATTTTTACAAAAACTTATTTATGACAATGAGTTGGAAAATGCAACACGCATACGCAAATCTGTGGTGAACAAACTGCTTAGCCTCAACGCTTTTGTGCCGCAATGGTTATACAATGAATATAAGGTACATAGAATTTCTCTTAAGGAAATGTCTTATTTGAATTTACTCACATACCCTAATAGATGGCTAATTGCACCGAGTTGTTGTATTTGTTTGTCAAACATAATCGGTTGATTGAGGCTGCCGAATTAGCACAGGAAATGATCAGCGCAATGTTAGGTGCTGGAAGCGAATATTTTAGTTTTAAACATGCAATTGCTGTTACCAATCAAGAGATGTGTCTGCCAGTGAATACATTAGATCTCTTGTTGCATGGATTAAGATTAAACGCTGATTCAGATATTGAGTACAAACAGGTGCGTACGTGTACATATTTGAGGCCGTGAGTGCGAAAGTGGCGTAACCCGCATTTTTTATACTTTACTTAAATAGTTTGAATAGCTTTGTACCTTAAAATTAAAGAATAAACGACTTCTATTTCAAAATTTACATTTGAGACTATTTTAAGTAGTCAAGTACAAACAAAAATTAGGGTTATGCCACTTCCGCTCACACGACTTCATTTATTCTCAATATTCACATGTACGTTAAAGAATCTTTTTCATTTGGGTTAGGTGCTCAGCGATTTAGAAGACATCATACAGATCTATATTGATACGGCACAGCGCACAGCGGATGATAAAATACAAATGGCATTCCAGGAACAACGGTCACACCAGCGCCAACAAGTATTCATGGCATGAAACAACTTATGTACATCCATATATTTTTTTTATTTAAATTTTGTTTCCTAGTACGACATACAAATATAAATTATACTTACTAAAACAAATTAAAAATCGTCCATCATCATAGACTCGGACATAAATTTTTTGTATATATTCATAAATTGAGCAACGAACGCTTCCAAGTGGAATATATGTTTAGCGCCGTTCTGCATACGATGTTCATAGAGTGCTGCATACTCCAATGTTTTTGCTTTGAGAGACATGTCACAGTTTTTAACAAGTTGCTCTACTAATCCGCGGAAAATCATATCGGGGGGCACCCCTTGTGCCAGCAATTCGTACAACCGGTCACGTATCTTCTCTAGCTTTGCTGGTGTTTGCTCTGTCACAATTTGGTTGGCTGTCTCACGTAAAAATACTTGCCAGTCTAGTTCAACGATGTCCTGCTGTCCGGTGAAGGGGTACTGCTGAACCTTACAAGCTTCCAACATCAACAAGGCGCGACGTAAATTATGCTCACTTTTCTCCACGATTCGTGTGGCCAAGTCAGTAGGCAAGGTTAATCCTTCACGCTTGCATGTTTGTTGTAGTACTGTGTTTATTTCTTCTTCGCTAGGTGCAGGAACACGTATTCCTAAGCAACGAGATCGTATAGCCGGTATAACGCGCGACGTAGAATTCACTGACAATATAATCCTACATGTAGCCACATACTTTTCCATAGTGCGACGCAGCGCATGCTGAGCGTCTTTAGTGAGCTCATCCACTTCAGAAAGTACAATTACTTTAAATTCACGCTGCCCTGATGCATCGATTTGATGTGTTTGAGCCACTTGTTTGATAAGGTCAATAACAACAACACGATCGTAAATGCCCGCATCTGAAGGATTTACTTCTAAATGATAATTACTTCCAACTGTCATCACTTCTACTTTGCGATTCGATGGAGTGGTAAAGGTCATTGTTTCGTTACGCAGTCTTTCCACACCAGCGCCGTACAATTCGCGCAATAAACCCATAATACGAGTTTTTTTACCAGCACCAGAGGGGCCATAGAACATTAAATGTGGAAAATCACCCTGCTGGCACAGATTGCGCAAATTTTCAGCTTGCTCCTGATTACGGACAAAATACGACAAATAAATACGATAATAAAAAGGCCAAAAAAACTTACTTTGTGATAATCAAGTTTGGCCAACTCACGTGGCCTATGCTTATCCACCCAGAGAGCCATATCATCAATAATATTTATTTTACACGAACAAATTAATTTATTAATTTCCAAAATGAAATACCCCAACAATTTTTGCGAGCTGCTTGCTTTCGGCACTAATCAATTGTTTACCTAGTTTCGCGCCTTTTGCAGAGCTGGAAAACTATCGATGGCACTATCGATAGTATCGATGGTTTTGGTTTACATACTTCCATTTTTCTCTTTTAAGCTGCCTTTATATGAGGCGATTTTTTGAGAGGCGATAATCGCATGCAAAGGTTGACTTGCTGTATATTTTGAGACAAGCGATTTTTGGATCACCATTTACACGGGCGATTTTTCCAGAACAATGTTGAATCGCCTTGAAAATCGCCTCATGTAATGGCAGCTTTAAGCTGCCAAGGCGAATTTATACAAGGTGGTGTTACCGGCGAATTTAGCCAGGACCAAATTTCATTTATTATTTTACATTATTTGGATAAAGAAAAGTCGCGCAAATTCAATTGCCAGAACCGACAAATGAATAGTTGCGTTCCAGATAACTTCGTGTAAAAACCTGTAAAACTGTCAAATAACAAAATTACTCTCTTGAAAGAGAGGAGCAAGAGAGAAAAAATAAAAATCACCTGGAACCATAGTTGCCACAATTGGTAACTTTCTACCAAAATTGGTAACTTTTAAACGATTTGGTAACTTGGTAACTTTTATTTTATTTTGGTAACTTTTGCAACCACACATCTATTTGCATTGCTAGAAAGAAATGAATTATGTTTTGCCTGTGCGTAATTATAAAAACCCTTCGAGTTTCAGTGGCAGCACTACTGACACTTCTACAAATTTACTTCGATAAAATTAGAGTCATCTCATATTAGAATACTGGAAATATTTGAATTACAGTGGCAGCACCACGGGCTGCACTTCTGAAACAACTTTTGAATGTTTGCGATATTTGAATTCTACAGTAAAAATGGTGTAAAAATTCGGTCATCTGGCAATTTTTGGTAAGGTCCACAAATCGTTTTGATTATTCCGGCACAAAAAAAAAATGTCCCGTGCTTTTTACCTGTTCCACCTACCGACATGTATTTCGACCCACAGAATCCGAATCTGAGGTCCGTTTGACACGTACAGTACATTATGATAAACCGAAAAAATAGCTCGAAATTTCGGTTAAAAGCACCCGCCACTTTTTTTGTATGCCAGTGCTATTATTCCGTGAGTCGCAGGTTCAAATATCGGCACATTCCGAACGAAAAATGACACTGAAGATGGCACGACGCCGAAACCGGTTTATCTCCAAACCAAATTTGCCAAAAGATGACGAAAAATCGTTCCACATTACATCATACTCCTACCCTGTTGGAAACACCAACAACGAAAACGAGAATATCGGCACATGCAGTTATTAATTGATAGAAAAATATTTTCTAATAACAAAAATTATTATAATTGTCAATAGGAATTTCAATCTTGATAATTTATCAAGAAAATAGATTTAAACTTTTTTGCTAGAACTGGGAGTTTTTGATAGATAATCGAAAATTGACAATTTATAACGAAAACCCACTTTTCCTGTAACTACTTCCATTTTTTTTTTTAATGTTAAGCGCCATGGAGACGATCAAATATCTTTATCAACCGACTCGCGTTTTGCTTGACAAAAAAAAGCGCACTTGCCTTCTGATCGTCGTGGTGAGCAAGTGCGCGGACTAGAAAAAGAAATTGTTTGTTGAATTAACGCGTTTATTTGAACGTTTGCGGGTAAGACACGAGCCAATCTCACACATATGCAATGCTTGACGTATTTATTTGATTGTCTCCGTGGCGCTTAATGTCCTTTGCTGTCTGTTTTTGTTTACAAATGCAACCCTGCCTATCGTTTGACACTTTTCATGATTCAATAATTAAAGGTTTATAATTGAATCATGGTTATCAACCATATTTGTAACTTAAGTGTGAAACAAACGTTCCTCGTGTTTTACACGCTGAAAGACCTTTCTGGCTGTTCACACATGGAAATAAAATTTATTTTTCTCAATTTGGAAAATCTTACCACGTCTGACACGGTCTTTATGGTACTGTTTTTGTTTGTTTTGTTATCCGTTCGAAATAAACACAACTGACAGTTCGCCGCTAATCGCAAACTCATATACGCGCCTTTGCAGTGTGATAGCATTTTTCTTGCTATTTGTCTTTTTTGTCAATTTTACTTTTTATGTTTCACATTCATTCATAATTTAATTTTTGTAGTCAATTTTAAGCCAGGCAGCAACATAATTGGTTTCTAACATGCACTTTTGTCGTATTTGCCGTACTGAGAAGAATCTTAAATACACTGTGAAAGAGCTCCGAAAGTTTAGTAGAAAACGATGTAATGATGGGGTAAGCCTGTAACCCCTCCGGGGTATTAGCATATCTTTTACCTTGTGGAAACCACCGAACTTTTGTTTATTGTTTCAGTTGCTGTGCACAACGCCTACCTTAGGCAACATTTGCAATGATTGCGAAGAGCGGCTTCATAACTTCCACAGACTGGACGAGAATGAAGATAACGAAGAGAGGATAATCGTCGATGATGACGACCTGTTGTACAATTTATTTTTCGAGAAAGTGGAGCAGCAACGCATAATGAAACGTTTAATGTCCGTTGGCGCAGGCAGTGGTGGGAGTGATTGGTGTACATCGACTCTACGTCAACAAACTTTGGTAGCAGCTACAGCTGGTGTAGCTATTAACAGCGTTGACGAAGTTATTGAAGTGCTGACGTCGCGCGAGAATACTCCCTCACCTGCGTTGCCATTAGCGTCGACACCAAACTCCATTCTTCAGTCGGAAACAAATGTAAAGACCTGCCCATCCCAGAATGATGATCAAAATACCAGCAGCACCATTATGAATACTAACATTTCTACCTCAATCACACCCACTACTATAATGAAAAATGTTGCTTCTCCTATAAGTGATAACATTTCCTCATATAAAGTGGTAGCGGTTATTGACTTAGATGATGATGAGGAGGTACCATTGACAACAACAGGTATAGTAAGTAGCTCGAACTTTTTGACTCCGCAAATAACACCAGATACAGATGAAGAAGAAATTGTATTCCGCAAAGTCGATCCCGACGATATTAAAAAACCCAAGAATAAAACAAGAAAACGAAAAAAATGTCGGAAGGAAAAATATCAGCACCGCGAGATAAATTTAATTGCCAGTCTCAGTTTGCTTTCAAGCGACAATGACTCTGATGTTGACGTTACTGACCCAGAGTATAGTCCAGAGAAAGCAAATATTACACCAAAACTTACAGAAGAGCAATGTGTTAGCACAACGCAGATTTCACCAGATTTAAAAAGCAGTGATTTGCCAAAAACACCATCAACTCAACCATTAGAAGGAAATGTTCCACTGAACAACTGTCTGGATGCTGCCATTAAGTGTCCAGTCTGTCAGACTGAATTTGCCACCAGTCAACGACTGATACATCACATGCGGCGCAAGCATCGTACCTACGATGGGGAAGTCCTGTCGGAGCGTCCGCGTTGCTCGCAGGACTCTGCAATGACAATAAGGTTGCGATACATGCAGCGATATACGTATTACGAATGCCAGCTATGCGGCTGCATTGACGCCATTTTTAAAACCCACAAAGAACATGTTATGCAAAAACATGCTGAAGAATCTAAATCATTAAATGATCCAATGATGCAGATACTCAAATGTCCGATATGCAAGGAAAAATGTGGAGCACAGCACGTGTTGCTCTTGCGGCACTTGCTACAGTCTCATAAAGCTGCAGAATGTCGATCACATTTTCGCCAAATTACTCATGTTCGGAATTTATTCTCCAATTGTGGTGCCAGAAAAGAAAAAGAGTTGCAGCGAACTACACGTATTTATCAAATGAGCAAGAAAAAACAGTACTTCTTCGAGTGCTTACAATGCCACAAAATAATTACAGGCTACTTTAATTATCTGAAACATCAAAGCACACATACCAAAACAGTTAATAAGAAGAACATAGGAGTTGATAATTCACATTCAGATTCTGTAATCGCTGCTGTTTCAAGACCAGTAGTAGCACCTGGAAAACCGAAGCAAAATTGTATAGAGCCAAAAGTTAAATTAGAAAAACCGAAGCCTGTCCAAGCTGTAAAAGAAATTAGCACTAGGAAAAAGTTAGCATCTCAACAGACTAATGCACAGAAAAACGCAAATTCGCAGCCACGTCGCGAACGTAAACTAACTAAAAAAGCTATCCAAGCAGCACTTGTTAAAGTAAAAGTGAAACCACCACTGAAGCAGTTGCCAACACACCGCTACAATTGCAAGTTGTGTGCTCAATCCTTCAAAGGATTTCATCGGCTAAACCTGCATATATTGCAGTTACATACGTCTAAGGATGGCCATATACGATGTGACATATGTCTGTTGCGCTTTGCCGACAGCCATGAACTAGAGGAGCATGTGCGAAAACGGCACATTTTTAAACAGAAGCGCAAAATTACTGCCAAGGCAAACTGTGCCAAACCACGTCGCCAATATTCATTGTCTAATCGTATGGATAGGGGACCGCCAGATCCAAAGTTTGACGGAAGAGAAAATTCGGAAATTAAAGGCCAAGAAGTTATGGAAGCTACATGGCTGCAAGAATTATTAGCACTAGCGGACCAAAAGCGATTAAATCTTTCCAACAATGTCAATAAAAATAATATTAAAAGGTACACTCAGACAATACCAGAACGAATAGAATATTCAGCCGACCAACAGAAGCTCTCGTCAGATGAACACCACACGTTTTCCATGTTTTTTACTTCTCAACAATGTTTTTATTGTGCGCATCTTTTTAGAAATGTATCTGAATTGCATTCACATGAAAAGATGCATGTAGAGCGGCACGAGGCGCAAATGTTAAAGAGATGTCAAATAGATAAATTTCTTTCAAGTTGAGTTAGAGAGATAGGAGCAACCCATTTTCGGATCTTGAACTGTTGGAGACATGAACTGCGAAATTGCGAATTGTTGCAAAGTGCATTTACTACATAAAACATACATATTTTCTTTCGAATATACACTGCCTCGCAAAAGTTTGGACTCACTTGAAAAGTAGGTTTTTTTTATATAGTTATCCCTTTAATTACCCCCATAACATCACACTGCCACCGCCAAACTTAACTGTTGGCTTTACACATTGAGGTGAGTGCCGTTCATTAGATTTTCGCGGTTTGCTACCAAAAAATTTCGAATTTGGACTCATCGGTCCATAAAAACAATTTTCCATTGTTCAATAGATACATTTTTATGTTCTTTTGCCCATTTGATTCGTTTACGAACGTTTACCGGTCGCAACAATGGTATTTTGGTAGCGACCCGTCCATACAAACGTAAAACGATTTTTCCAAGTGAGTCTAAACTTTGCAGGACGGTGTACATACTTAATTTGTTTATTATAACATAGAGATCCTTAATAACCAGAGCTCATCAAGTTAGATGTATGGACATATATCATAGCTATTAATGCAAAAGTGCCAATTTACCTTTTTTTGTTTAGTAATGCCTTTTTTTTTTAATATTCCTTTACTGTCGTCTCTGAAGCACGCTTTTTTTAACAAAACTCAAAACCAATCTTAAAAACTACGAGATTTTTGGTATCTTAAGAGCCTTTCGTATAAAAAATTTAAAATCTTGTTTGCTTCTGTAAAATTTTATATTCGCCAAAAAGGGCTTTTTGCATCAATGATATGTTTTTGCATTACATACATATGTGCATTTGTAAAGCTTTGGGAAATTGAGAAAATCTGATTGCTGACTGAAATATTCACATAGATCTTTGTTCATTTAGTAATGAAATGTTTAAACAAAATTTACTGGATAATCTTTATGTTAACACCAATGTAAATAGAAATTCATATAAGACGTTTTCGATTTGCCAACTACATGGCAAGTAGCAAACCGTTAAATTCGAAGCATTGATTAAAACAACACCTAACAATCTAAGCAGTTATAACTAAACGCGCCTGTGTTCGCTTATGCTCGCTAGCTATGTTGTTGTTCTACCATACAACATTTTCGTTAGCAGAAAAATAGCGAATCGAAAACGGCTTCCCACATGTATGTTCATAATAGATTTGTAGCTAAATACTGTCAAATCTACATAGTAAGTTTATATACGTACATACATACTTATATGTATGCAGCAACAAAGGTACATCAATCAGGCAGGTTCTGCTATTCACTTCCGGCGAATTTCAACCCCCTTTCGATTTGAATTTAAAGTGACTTTCGTTGAAATTCACTCGGAAGTGAATTGTAGAACCTGCCTGAATATTGAATAAGTTTAGAACAAGCCTTTTAATATTTAATGGACTTCAGTTTCATAAAACGAAATGTTTTTCTAAGAAATCTGACTGTGTTGTATACGAGTTAAATTTTCATTGATTGTTTGATTTGTTTTTATTCGATTTCTTAATTCAGAATTTTTTAGTTTTGAAATAAATTTTTATGTGTTTCAAAGTTAATTGCATTTTAATTTTGGGTATTCTTTCCAACCACTTTTTTGGGCGTTTTCATATTTGCCGACGCCGACTACGACACGACATCAACACAGCATTCGCAGCAAGGCGTAGTGGTCTGAAACTATCGATGACACTATCGATGGTTTTTGACTATCGTACCACCATCGATAGTTTTCAATACTATCGATAGCTTTTGTTGTTCTCACATTATGAGTTGCGTTTGTTTATTCATTTCCAGTAAAAGTTTTTACGAATTTTCATGTTTTGGCGTTTTCGTACGCAAAAACTTGCAAAGTAGGGGAAATTGAGAGAGCGAAAAATGACAGTTGAAGTTGCTAGTTTTTACTGGATAAATTTTTACTTGTAAGAATTTGCCAGTACGAAAAACGGCTGATCGCATATTGCTGGATGAAATTTAAACTAATAAGTCAACTGTTTGTGGGTTTTTATTGTTGAATTTCACAAAATAAACCTATTTAAATACAAAATATATTGTTTTATTAGGAATTTGCTGCGAATAAACAACCGATTTATCAGCTGCTCATGAAACTTGCAAATTATTACTGGAAAAGCATTCGCGTACTTTTTTGTAAATTTTTTCTATGAGAGCGAATTCTTAGAAATAAAGTTACTGGAGAGTTGCTGACAAGTTACTGGATAAGTTGTAAAAAACACAACTATATACCAGAACTTCCCTGTTTAAGCGGGTGTGAAAAATATGGATAGTTTCGTGAAGAGAACCGAAAAAGGAAAATATCTGATATTGAATAAAGTAAAATAACTGATATTGAATGAAGCTCTAAAAACAAATCGAATTATTTTAATAGGCAACGACTCCTAATTCGTATCAAGTTTTGCTTTGCTTTAATCACGCAAAATATTTTCATAAAAGTTTTGAAAAATGTTTGAAGAAAATGGAAATAAGAAGATTTTTCATCATGTAAAATTTCTAAAAATGGACTTGGCAAACTTTCACTCTAAGATTGCTATTTACTGATTTTGTAAGAAATATTTTTTACAAATACGCCAGGCGCAATATAAACACAAATTGTAAGTTTAAAATATTATCGATAGTTATCAATGGTTTCTAAAGACTAAAGACCGACTGTTTCAGACCACTAGCAAGGCGCGCAGTGTTGCCACAAAAAAAAATTACTAAATTCCTCAAAAACAAATGAAAAATCCTCAAAACCCGAACAAATTACTCAAAGTTTTCTTATTTACTATTTGCAGGTACTTAGCATAAAAATTAATTACATTCTCCAATTCAATCGGTAAATTTGTTCTTGCGGTTCAAACAAAGTATCACCATTATTTTTTATACCTTGGTTTGTATATAATATTTCTGCAACTATATCAGTACTCAATCTGATCCTCAAGTCAGTCCTACACATTTTTAAACTAATGCAGATATAATTTTTTTAATTGGGAAACTTATATGAACCTGAAGAATCTTTTAATTCAAAAACTTTTTTCCTATAGTTTTCTGTGTTGTAGTGTTGCTGTACATAATCGACCATAAATATAATTTTTTTTTCGAAACACATATGTATGTAATAAAGCGAAAATAATCAATTTTATTTTCACTGAAAATAATGTTAAATGTTCTTTTATAACCTTTATACATACTACATACGTATATATATTGTATATGAAAACAAAGGCTTCCAGTACTGGCAGTCCTTGAAATGTGTAGTGGTCTAAGAGAATGTACGGTTACCAAAATCCTGTAAATCAATTTCATTGTGGGGTACACGATCATTTATCGTACTCTTCTTACAATGCCAATGATCTTGATCATTGTAGTCATGCAAATTCATAAAGTCATATCCAGCGGGAATCATTCGTAGTCCATGGAAAGTTGTGTTTAAATCTTTTGACTGCAAGTTAAATAAGTTATTAACTTGAAATTAAAAAAGTATAATTTCCGTACTTCACGTTTGCCACTTCTTTTTGATTTAGTCAACGTTGTAAATTTTAAATTAATACCATCTTTCGACTGCTTTGCCTGCAATTAAATGTAAACAAATATTTTATTGGACGTAATTCAATTTCCGACAACACAAAATCGCGACCTCTCTTGGTAGCACCTTGGTATTTTCATTTATAGCTTGTTTGCCTGATTTTCTCTCAATATACTGTAAAAAAAAAAAGAAAACAGCGGGTCAGCATACTTTCCGCTATGTTTGTATGTTCAGGCAGGTTCTGCAATTCACTCCGAGTGAATTTTAACCAAAGTCCCTCTGAATTCAAATTAAATTTGGTTGAAATTCGCTCGCAAGTGCAGAACTTGGCTAATTAATTTAAAATCGGACCAAAAATAACAAAACTGCTCGTTGCGTTATTTACCTGATTTCGTAATGTGATTAAATATTCTGCAAATGAACCAATGTCCTCTTGTACTACAGAAACTTCATCGAACTTTTGTAAATTTTCCTGAAACGAATTGAATTTTTATGAATCGCATGTAACATGGGGTTGTTGTTGTTGTAACAGCATACAAATTCCCCAAAAAGTTTTTTGGGAGTGTTGCTGAAGTGACAGTCCTCGCCCAGATATAAGTCTGGGTCTTTCCGGANTAAATCTTTTGACTGCAAGTTAAATAAGTTATTAACTTGAAATTAAAAAAAGTAGAATTTCCGTACTTCACGTTTGCCACTTCTTTTTGATTTTGTCAACGTTGTAAATTTTAAATTAATACCATCTTTCGACTGCTTTGCCTGCAATTAAATGTAAACAAATATTTTATTGGACATAATTCAATTTCCGACAACACAAAATCGCGACCTCTCTTGGTAGCACGTTGGTATTTTCATTTATTACTTGTTTGCCTGATTTTCTCTCAAGATACTGTAAAAAAAAAGAAAACAGCAGGTCAACATACTTTGCGCTATGTTTGTATGTTCAGGCAGGTTCTGCAATTCACTCCGAGTGAATTTTAACCAAAGTCCCTTTGAATTCAAATTAAATTTGGTTGAAATTCGCTCGGAAGTGCAGAACTTGGCTAATTAATTTAAAATCGAACCAGAAATAACAAAACTGCTCGTTGCGTTATTTACCTGATTTCGTAATGTGATTAAATATTCTGCAAATGAACCAATGTCCTCTTGTACTACAGAAATTTCATCGAACTTTTGTAAATTTTCCTGAAATGAATTGAATTTTTATGAATCGCATGTAACATGGGGTTGTTGTAACAGCATACAAATTCCCCAAAGAGTTTTTTGGGAGTGTTACTGAAGTGACAGTCCTCGCCCAGATATAAGTCTGGGTCGTTCAGGTTACGTGAGGCGATTGTCGTGGGTCGGTACCGTCGACAACGATGTTTAACTGAAGATTAGGGCCGGTTGTTCAATGTCTGGTTATCTCTACTTGCCGGTTAAACATCATTATCGACGTTTTCGACATCATGCATATAACATGCGATCGATAAAGCAGTCGTTGTATCTAACCGGAGCTTCTACCTCCGATTTGTGCTAATCAGACATTGAACAACCGGCCCTTAATGTTAGTCAGAGGTGGTGAAAACGGCCCTAAAGGCGAAATTAGTCAACGGCGTAGCGTAAACGTACGTTAACGCTGACCCGGTCTACCTTATAGAATTTGCGTGTTAACGAAAACTGACCACCGCATGACGATGACGTTGACGTTGCTTCTCTCTCTATCAACAGTAANTACGTGAGGCGATTGTCGTGGGTCGGTACCGTCGACAACGATGTTTAACTGAAGATTAGGGCCGGTTGTTCAATGTCTGGTTATCTCTACTTGCCGGTTAAACATCATTATCGACGTTTTCGACATCATGCATATAACATGCGATCGATAAAGCAGTCGTTGTATATAACCAGAGCTTCTACTTCCGATTAGTGCTAATCATACATTGAACAACCGGCCCTTAATGTTAGTCAGAGATGGTGAAAACGGCCCTAAAGGCGAAATTAGTCAACGGCGTAGCGTAAACGTACGATAACACTGACCCGGTCTACCTTATGGGATTTGCGTGTTAACGAAAACTGACCACCGCATGACGATGACGTTGACGTTGCTTCTCTCTCTCTATCAACAGTAAATTTGATATGTTGCTACGTACGTTTACGCTACGTCGTTGACTAATTTCATCTTAAGGGCCAGTTTCTCAATGTCTAGTTAACACTATAGGCTCTTTTATGCATACTTCGCATTGCTTGAGAGTTGTCACATATGGAATTTGTTAAGGGCCGGATGCTCAAAGCCTGGTTGACACTAATCACCGGTTAACATCGTTATCGACTCCATACATATAATACGGTGTCGGTAACGTCGATAAGTCAAAATGATGGCGAAACTAAAGTTAATAATAACTAGTGAAATTACTTTAGAATCGACTTTATGAATATCGTCGTTTAAAGTGCAAAACCGCANGACTCCATACATATAATACGGTGTCGGTAACGTCGATAACGATGTTTAACGATAGTCAAAATGATGGCGAAACTAAAGTTAATAATAGTGAAATTACTTTAGAATTGACTTTATGAATATCGTCGTTTAAAGTGCAAAACCGCATATCAACAAAATACAAAAAACGCGTATCAACAGAATGCTAAGCCGCGTATGTGAGGCTGCACAAATTATTTTCTAGAGAGTAAAAACACTCATATTGCAAAATGCTTCCCTTTTTTTATAAAGCCGCATTTTGGCATGTATATTTCAGGACGAATGGATAAGGCTTGAGCCAAAAGCTTGTGTGAGCAAATCCAATTTTTGGCGAAAAACGTTAGTTACGCGGTTTTGCTAAACGACGATACGCAGGATTGTACTTTATACGACGCTATTTACCCATAGGGGCGTATTTATAGACAAAATGATGGCGAAACTAAAGTTAATAATAGTGAAATTACTTTAGAATCGACTTTATGAATATCGTCGTTTAAAGTGCAAAACCGCATATCAACAAAATGCAAAACCGCGTATCAGCAAAATGCAAAACCGCGTATGTGAAGTTGTAGAAATTATTTTCTAGAGCGTAAAAACACTCATATTTCGAAATGGTTTTCTTTTTTATCGCATTTCTTGCTAGTATAATTCAGGATGAATGGAAAAGGAATCCAATTTTTGGCAGCCAATGTCAGTTACGCGGTTTTGCAGAATGACGATACGCGGTTTTGTATTTTAAACGATGATATGCTCCATAGTTATTTGCGCACATGCTTACAGTAATTTTTGTTGTTGACTTGTTTTCGGGGTCATATTTGCCTTCATCGGAAATTGATTTAGTGGATGTTGTAGCCGTCCAAGGATTGACATTGGTGGGACTATATTTTTTGTTGTCACGAGATGTCTTTTTTGAATGAAAAACATCGGTGGTATTTGCGGTGGAATCATCCAAATGTATATATTTAATTGCGCTTATTTCACTGTCTGTGGTTTCTATAGTTTGATTGGATCTCGTATTACCAGCTTTCATATCAAAATCTAAGTTGTCTGGAAGGGGGGGTTCGCGTTCATTCCCTTCAACAAATTTTTCCACTCGCGATTTTGATAATACACCGGCCAGCTGCATGTGCTGATTTTCCTCATGTTCCTCTATTTTAGTTAGATCGGCTTCTAGTAGCTGATCGTATTTCCGAATGGACACAGCGTCAATCACTGATCCCTCCGTCATTGTGTACTCAGTTGTGGTATCGAGGAGACCTGCCTCATGCCCAGACGAACACTGATTTCGCTCATACCACTCTTCAACTTTTTGCTTTGCAGCATTGTCACACTCCAATTTGGGACATTTAATTTCAGTATGGGTTATGCCAACAACTGCAGGATACAGATATGCGCGATTTGTATGAAATTTACTACTACCATTATTGCACATCCATGGAAAAATCTTATTAGTTTTTAATTTTAAGCACTCCTCGCGAAAATTTGGTCCAGCATCAGCAGCCAAATGCAACGATATTAAGTGATCGTTTACACGATATTTAACACCCATATTCGTTTTAATAACAAGTTCTCCCCACTCCTGTCCGTTCAGACTATATTCTTTAATGAACATTATGGATTCAGAATCATTTATAGCCTTCTCAACAAGCTCACAAGCCCGCTGATCCCATTTATTTGAAATTGTCTTGACCATCATATTCTTCATAAAAAAATTTTCAGCTGGAAGGACGTTGAGCAAGCCGCCACAACGTACATAATTAATAGGCGTAGTCAATTTTTCGGGTAGTCTATAAATTTGATCAGTCTTTGTCTGGAAAGGAAACCCATAGTCTATGGCCCACATTACAAATTCGCCCCCGGCAACGTTCTTGCCGAAGCCAGCAATATGATCGACACGTGCACGTATCATTTTATTCCAAGCTAAGAATTTAACAGCTACCATGGCATTTATGGGTGGACGGCGTTGCGCCTTTGTCCATGCTTGGTGATCATTGTAGTATTCTGCAAGTTCCCGTTCAATTTCCAGTATACTCCGATAGTCGTCGTTACAAGCGTCAATTTTATGGAACCAAAATAGATGAGGATTTATGAAATGTGTAATTGAGACTATTTCCTTTTGCTTTTCCAATTTAGTCATTGTTAAAATTAAATATGATAATTTAATTATGAAAAATAAGACATAACCGGCAAGTAGATGAAAAGTGCAGTTATAAAATCANTTGAGCAAGCCGCCACAACGTACATAATTAATAGGCGTAGTCAATTTTTCGGGTAGTCTATAAATTTGATCAGTCTTTGTCTGGAAAGGAAACCCATAGTCTATGGCCCACATTACAAATTCGCCCCCGGCAACGTTCTTGCCGAAGCCAGCAATATGATCGACACGTGCACGTATCATTTTATTCCAAGCTAAGAATTTAACAGCTACCATGGCATTTATGGGTGGACGGCGTTGCGCCTTTGTCCATGCTTGGTGATCATTGTAGTATTCTGCAAGTTCCCGTTCAATTTCCAGTATACTCCGATAGTCGTCGTTACAAGCGTCAATTTTATGGAACCAAAATAGATGAGGATTTATGAAATGTGTAATTGAGACTATTTCCTTTTGCTTTTCCAATTTAGTCATTGTTAAAATTAAATAGGATAATTTAATTATGAAAAATAAGACATAACCGGCAAGTAGATGGAAAGTGCAGTTATAAAATCTCGATACTTACTCCTTCTTGGACATCGATAAATTGCATTTAAATTTAAAATCGATAAATTAAGTCAGTGGCCCCCAACCTTGTTCAAATGGCGACCCACCTTTCCTTAACGTAATACCTTCACGGTCCATCGGTCCCTGGTGAAGTGAAAAACACGGGCGCGTATTCATAGTCCAGCCACTAAGTCGGAACTAAANACCTTGTTCAAATGGCGACCCACCTTTCCTTAACGTAATACCTTCACGGTCAATCGGTCCCTGGTGAAGTGAAAAACACGGGCGCGTATTCATAGTCCAGCCACTAAGTCGAAACTAATAAAGTTGCAACTTAAAATTCACTTCTATTCATAGTCGCATTTCAGACTTCTACTAGCAATTTATTATTTTTGTACGTGTTTTTGCAACCAATCACCGCGCACTTCATTTTAATTACATTTGCACAAAACATTTATTGAAAATCGCTTAAAAATCACTGAAATAAACCACCGACAAAATACACATAAACAAAGAAGCAAAACAAAAGGAGCAAAGTTTACATTTACGAACGTCACACACTTATTTCTCAATTGCTATTAAAAATGGCTGCCTCTCAACCGGAGATCTGTTCTAATTGCTTCATGGGTGAGGTCCCTGTTCGCAGACATNTCAGTGGCCCCCAACCTTGTTCAAATGGCGACCCACCTTTCCTTAACGTAATACCTTCACGGTCAATCGGTCCCTGGTGAAGTGAAAAACACGGGCGCGTATTCATAGTCCAGCCACTAAGTCGAAACTAATAAAGTTGCAACTTAAAATTCACTTCTATTCATAGTCGCATTTCAGACTTCTACTAGCAATTTATTATTTTTGTACGTGTTTTTGCAACCAATCACCGCGCACTTCATTTTAATTACATTTGCACAAAACATTTATTTAAAATCGCTTAAAAATCACTGAAATAAACCACCGACAAAATATACATAAAGAAAGAAGCAAAACAAAATAGCAAACTTCACATTTACGAACGTCACACACTTATTTCTCAGTTGCTATTAAAAATGGCTGCCTCTCAACCGGAGATCTGTTCTAATTGGTTCATGGGTGAGGTCGCTGTTCGCAGACATTAGGTTCTTTCCTTACCAATCCGGACCGGATCCAGTAGTTAGAGAATAAGCGAAAAGTTTGCTCTCAAAAATGGAACATAATACAGAAGCACGGTTGCCGTTTTGGTCCAAATGGACCAAATTTGGTTCATTTCTTTTCGTTTGAAAATTGGATTGATGGTTCAATGACCGGAGATGTCAGTTTTCAAAAAACAACGATACATCGATGCATCGATACTNCAATCCGGACCGGATCCGGTAATTAGAGAATAAGCGAAAAGTTTGCTCTCAAAAATGGAACATAATCCAGAAGCACGGTTGCCGTTCTGGCCCAAATGGACCAAATTTGGTCCATTTCTTTTCGTTTGAAAATTGGAATGACGGTTCAATGTACCGGAGATGTCAGTTTTCAAAAAACATCGATACATCGATGCATCGATACATCGACTATGTATACATCGAGTGGAAAATTTTCGATGCATCGAAGCAAAACATCGATATCTTCGATGCATCGATGTTTTTCCGACATAACTAATTTGGGATTTTGATGCGTGTTTCCAGCTAAGTGGCTTCTTATAAATAAACATACATAATGAAAGTGAAAATGATTAGCAGGAATCCGGACCAATATGTTCGTGAAACCAAATTACAAAATCATAGAAGTATGGAAGTAATACATTCGTAACATTTTGATTCAAACAAGTTATCTTTCAGTGCCGCGAAACTTCGATCCTGAGCTACATCCATTGGAGACTACTCGCGAATATGTGCGGGCATTGAATGCCACCAAATTGGAGCGTGTTTTCGCCAAACCATTTGTTGGTAATTTAAGCGGGCATCGGGATGGTGTTGCATGCTTTGCAAAGCACCCTAAACAACTCTCAGTCCTTGCTACTGGCGCCTACGATGGCGAAATTAGAATTTGGGATTTAGCGAATCGTACAAGTGTGCGAGATTTCGTTGCCCACAATGGTTTTGTTCGAGGTATTGTGTACACTGTTCACGGAGATCGTTTTTTCACAGTGGGTGATGATAAAACCATTAAAGTATGGAAAGCCAACCCCCCAGATGTGGGTGAAGACGAAGAACCGGTTAATACGATTTTGTCACGTACAATTCTCACAGGAATATCACATCATAGAAGTGATCAAACTTACGCCACCTGTGGAGAAGTTTGTGCAATTTGGGATGAAAATCGAAATGATCCGTTAAAAACGCTTCAGTGGGGTGTAGACACATTGCATGCAGTCGCTTTTAACCAGGTTGAGACGTCTCTAATTTCGTGTTGTGCCAGCGATAGAAGCATAATATTGTATGACCAGCGTGAATCTCAGCCACTGAGGANGGTTGACACGAACTCGTAAAGAAATTTCTGTACGAAAAATAAAGAAAATTCTGGAAAAATTCTGAAAGATATTCTTCACATAGCAGCATTATTTTCGTTGCTTCACAGATTTTCTTCCGAAATTTCGTAAAGGAATGGAAGTGTGCGTAATTTATTTCATTTTAGAAAATGCGGCAAAAAATCGAATTAAATCTTAACGAATTCTTTAAAATTTCTTTACAATGCGGAATACTCTGAAAAAATGGTTTGCAGGGTTAATACGCCTTTTACCGAGTTTAAATTTGCATGGAGTTTACACTTTATGTCACGTATGCCTGGATGCTGTTTACAGGCAATGAATTTGTCAGCCGTTTTATATCCTTAGTTAAGAGGAGTAAACTGCCATCTCTTAATTCCGATTTGATTTCGATGTCCTTACTAATTACTTGTAACGATCTATGGACGGCAAAACAGGAGTAATGTGATAGCGGTTTTTGTTCATTTGTAGCTGACACCACGAATTAAGGATTAGGGAAAGAGATATTAGGGGTTGTAAGTTCCGGGTGGTCGTTGATTGTATATAATATGCGTTTCTTTTTGGCTTTGGAACTGAAATTAAAAGCCCCGGCGCATTTTTATTAATTACTGCAGTGTATACCTATCTGAACCATATATGCGTTAATAGATAGAGAAAATGAAAAAGACTAGAGAGTTTTTGTCAGCATATACCGATACCAAGAAAGAGGAGCTATAGGTAGGAAAGAACGTAGCGAAAAAGTAGCGTACACGGCGAATGATAGTCTCTTACTGTGAAATCAATAATAATTGTCTTTGAATAAAAAATAAATAAAATTCAATAAAATCATGATTACCGTCCCTGGTTTAAACAGATATTAAACACTGAAAATGGTTTTTTTAAATAAAGACCGCATCCAGACTGAAGCGGTTATTGCAAACGATGATCCCATTATGGGAGAAGTAGTTCTTCGCTATTCTGTAAGTTTTAATAGATTACGATAGCCGTGGCGACAAATTTTGACTGTGCCATTGGAAAGCTGGGCTCCTCCACTTTTCAAATATACCCATTTTTAGGTGCGGGGGCTTTCTAGTTTTAAGGATATTTAGTGTTAAAGTTAATTTTTTGGATTTTTTTCAATATTAACATCTTATGAACTACATAACCGATTACAAAAAATTATGATGTTAAAATAAAGAGAATTATTTAATCTTTCAGTTCGTGTACCTAATTTATATTATTTTTTTTTTTAATTTAAAGCCAAGATTACTAAAGAAACAAAAAAAAAAAATCTTAAGTTTTTCATAAAATAGTTATTTTGTTTTAAATTACGTGATTACAGAAGGCTAAAGAAATGTATATTATTTAAAAAGTACAAGTTATTGCATTTAATTTGGTATATAAGGTTCAATAAATTTGTAAAAATCTTGACTGAACCAAAAAATAACAAATTAAAGCTTTGCCTGTTCCTTTTGAGGGCTGGAAACTCTCAAGAAAAACGAAAAATTCATATAAAATGACGCACAAGAAATGGAAAAGCAATTAGATATATAGAGTGTTTGCATTGAAAGCAAGAGGTGTCAGAAATGATTAATTAATTTCTCAGAAACTATCAGGGCTATCGAAAAGTGATGTATATACGGTGTATGTAGAATTCCATATCTCGTATTACAATTATTCAATTGGTTCGTTATACGTGATAACGTGAAACCAGTATTTTTTTTTAACTGAACGGTAAATTGCAAATATCTCGAAAAGTTATCCATAGAAAAAAAATTATCTCGATTTTCGGATTCACCGAGCAATTCTACATAGGAATTGGATAGTGGCATCTGTAGAACATTTTTGCTGTAAACCAATGTTCTTAAAACCTATTATACTTTTTTTTTGACCTCATATGCAGATTCTGTGAGTTGTTTTACATAGCAAATGACTATAAAATTTACGATTTTCAACTATTTTGTTAAAATTTTTTTTCCCTGAATGCATATGGTTCTCTGAATTTTCAAATGCAAGTGCAAGTGGAATGATTAATTAATTTCTATGGAGAATTTTATTTTCTTTAATTTGCTTTATATCGTATTACGATTATTCAATTGGTTTCTAAGATATACGTGATTAAGTGGAACCACTCTTTTTTTAAGTTGAATAACGGTAAATTGCAAACATCTCGAAAACGTATACAGAAAAAAATTAGCTCGATTTTTGGGATCAGCGAGCGATTCTACATACAAATTGGACAGTGGCATATGGAGAACAAAATTCAAAATTGAAATTTGTGATCCAGTGGAATTTGCGAAATTGAGAAAACAGCAAATTGAGAAAACAACATTTTCAATTTTTTCCAAAAATATCCGGTTCTCCTTATAACACCACAAAAAGCTCTCCGCCAGATTAAAGGTCTTCGAAATCCCCATGAACTTGCTATACAATGTTTTGCAATCAAATTATTAGTTTAAGAGTTATCTGCAAATTTATGGGTGAAATCGGACACAATTTTAAGTCGCATCGATATTCTACTGTGAATTACACCTAAAAGCTGCGCACTTTTTGTTGTTTTTTTTGTGCTATATTAAAGCTTATTTAATTTCAAAGTATATAGATCCAAATCTTTTTGAACCCCAAAAACCCACCCCGTGTGTGCGCTAATGTGTATTACGTACTATTTAATTTTTAAATATATTGAATAGAATTAAAAAAAAAATCTGAATATGACCTTTGATCCGTAGTTTTCGCTTCCCATCAATAAAAAGTAAACCGTTATATTTGCTTCAAAACTGCACTGGTCAAAATTTGTCGCCTCGGTTATCGCAATCGTGCCTTATTCTAATAAACTTATTTAATTATAACCCTTGCCTAATTTTCTTACAGTCTTTATACGTTCGACACCCGTCAGCTGCGCAACCCACTGAAAATTCACTTTGATCATGTTTCTGCGGTAACAGATGTTGACTACTCCCCTACTGGCAAAGAATTCGTTTCGGGAAGCTATGACAAAACAATACGTATATACAATGTGCACCACAGTCATTCGCGCGAGATTTATCATACAAAACGTATGCAACATGTTGTATGCGTTGGTTGGTCTCTAGACAATCGTTATATATTCTCCGGGTCGGATGAAATGAACATTAGAATGTGGAAATCGAATGCATCGGAAAAACTGGGCGTAATAAGACCACGTGAGCGCGTTGCTTTCAATTATCAGGAGAAATTAAAGGAAAAGTTTGCGGCTCATCCTCAAATAAAGCGTATTGCACGGCATCGTCAAGTGCCGAAACACGTGTTGAATGCTCAACGCAAAATGCGCGCTATTAAGAACAAAGAGAAGGTGAAGGAAGCGAACGTTCGCAAACACTCAAAACCGGGAAAAGTGCCCTTCGTATCAGAAAAGAATAAGCATGTCTTGCGAGAAGAAGAATAAACGTCGATATTTGTATTGTGCTATTTATTTTCCATGGATAATGGCACATACAAAGATTTAAATTGTAACTCACTTTATAAACTCTGTTTTCGTAATACAAAGAAATAAAAGTAATCTGTTATTTAAATATAGCATTAAACATTCATAAATACATACATATGTATATACCATGATTCAGTTATAAAAGGTTTTGTAAGTAGGGATTTATAAAAATTTGATACTCGTCGAAATATATATTTTTTTTGTTTGGAACACGCTATGCGATATCCTTAATTCTTTTTTTTAAATGAAAGGTGGTACCGCAGAGGTTGTCTCATACTAATTTGGTTTTGAGCCGATAATTGGATCATGAAGAAATTAACGGTATTCTAAAATGTTTATATGCGAATCGAAGTCGGTTTTGTTTTTTGCTTAAAAATTATTTGTGTCTCTGTAACGGTACATATTCTAAGCCTGTGATTTTGTAGGACGTTGTAACTAGTATTTCGACTGCTGAGTGGAAGATCGACCTATCTCGGCAGCCTTTCGAAAACGCCCTATCTCAAAAAGGTTTCAAAAACGTTCTATTTCAGAAAATTAAACAAAAAATCGATGTGCCAACTCTGAAATAAAATAAGAAAGTTCTGAAATGCTCGAGGTTTTGGCCACTATTGGTAACTCCAGTGTGCAACTCTCAGATTGGACTATTACAAATTGGAATAAACTGACGAATAATTAATAATTATTAAATTGGAGGAATAAGCTGGCCCACTGGGTCCCGAAAATAGACCCATACGAACATATCGTTACCTTAATATAGAAATTTCCTAACTCACGTAGCCGCTGAAATGCAAAAATGCCGTAACAGACTGAATTTTTTTATTGCTTTAAATCAGCAGTGTTGCCAGAACTTTTTGGGCCGACCGGCTAGATTGGCAAAAAAAAGCGGCTAAAAACGGCTAAAATGTTTTAGTGAAAATTCCCATGCTTTATTTAAAAAATCGCAAGAAACGAAAGACTAGTTAACACCATTAATTTATATCGAGTGTATATTCCTCATCATCAAATGAATCACTATTGTATATATCACCTGAATTCATTAATTTTAAGAGATCGTCATCTACAGTAAAATTATGGCAGCATTTTTCTTCCGAAGTTTGCTGCGATGAAGGCAGTGGCAGTGAATTTAGAATTTGGCCTAAACTGAGCAGTACTGCCAGCTGCCACTGCTGTATTGTGAGTCGCTTCATTGGACACCCCACTTTCTAAAAAACAGCTGATTTCGAAAAATTGCCACTGCCACTGTCACTGCATTATTGTATTTTGGGCTTATATGGCTAATAAAATTAGCAAATAACTACATTTTCTGAAACTTTTGTGGCATTTTCCATTTCCACAACAGCTGTTATGGAAATTTGACTATTTACACATTTGTGCCCGGAAAAAAGTCTGGGATGTTTCGCGCACGAAGAAGAATGAATTTACGATCCAAAAGTGGAACGTATTCGCTCTCTATTACCCATTTTTATAGCGTGAGCAATACCGTTTGTACATAAATACATATCGAAGAATATGTCGTCTATACATGCTTATCTATGTATATACATATATACATACTTACAAATACGTCTATTCCAGGCGCTACACTGTTTCCCTGCAAAAATCGCGACTACTCCATGCATGCGTGTAAAGAGTACTCCCTAAGGACCAAAGAGTACTCCAAAATTAACCACAATTCATACAAAAAATATGGTCCAATTAACATTGCGATGTCCTAGGGCAGGACCATATACTCCATCCCTGCATTACATCAGAGTAGCACAAAACTACTCCAACATATTAACAATGGCATTGTTGTTATATTTTTTCGTTTGTACACGGTTTTGTTCTTCAATTCTCAAATGCTTTTTCGAAATTAATAAAAACCAAGACAAAAATTAAAAATTACATGTTGCCTCTGACGGTATTCGAACCCGAACATGCTGGGAGCTAAGAACTAACAGCGAGCATCTCTACACGTTCAGCTATAGCCAGACATGCAAATGTGCTTTCAAATGCTCAACTTCAATCACGTTTCGTTAAAACACGAGCAGTGATCGGATAACAAACAATAAGCTGGCGCAGAGACACGAGTTGGTCCGCTACAGCATGACAGAGGAACACTTTTGTAAGTACTCCAATTTACCACAAATAGACTACATGGTCCAACGATTTTTGCAGGGTTTATATCTTCCTCGTTGTGATAATGATGGAACGTGATAATTCTTGAAATCATTTTAAAAGTCATAATGACACGCACTTTTCTTGCTTAGATAAGCACTGAAGTGGTACAATGTACACCAGGGGTTCCTAAACATTTAAGATGATGGAACCCTACTAAACACCACATCAAATTACTAAAAATCAAATGCAGTGCAATTTATATATGAATAAACACTTTTACTAGAAATAGTATACAAAACTTATTTTAAGCGCTTAAAATATAACAATTTCTAGATATATTCTCCACAAAATTCTTTCAAAATCATTAAAAGACATAAGATATGCTTTTAAATTTCGTTTATCTACGTAAAAGCATAGACAGACGGCAACATTGATCCGGATTAACGCCGCAATTACTCTGATCAAAATCGTGCCTTGACAGACGGCAGTAATGCGGATTAACGAGCCGCGAGTTCGTAGGTTCGAATCGCACGGCCCGTAGAATATTCATTTAATTTCTTTTTATTGATTCAATTATAACTTCTGTATTTTTTATTTTAAAGTTGTTCTGCAAACTAGAATAGACATTCATCCTGTCGTCGGTAATGCAGTCACCAAAATAAGTTCTTATTCATTTTAAATTGGATTCCTTTTTGAATTAGAATGGTGACTGCATTACCGATGCTAATTTTGAATTTTCCCTGTATTCTACGCTCTCTGAGTTTTGGTCAGTGCTGTCATCGAAAATTCCCTTAATCCGAGTTAAGTTTGGGAATTAACTCTAGGACTTAATCCGGATCAACTGGAGTTAATTCCCGAGATAATTCCGAATTAGCGGTAAATTTTTCCGGCAGTGCAGTGACTGCAGTCTAGTACAATTTTCCGTATTCGGAAACGAATAGAAAACGACTTAAATTTTCATTCATTTGCGTATGTGGAAAATGTTCGAAACGTTCGAAAAAGATAATGTTATTTGGAAGCAATAATTGTATTTTATTTCTTCAAGCTAAACAGTGGCTGGACGTGCAGAGGAACGTGCCGCCATTTGTTAGCTTCCAGAAGGTGCCGGGTCCGAATTCCGTCAGTCGCTTCCATAATTTTATTTAATTTTTTTAGCCATGAAAAAGTATCTGTGAAGTGCAGTAGGAAAGCGTATTGAGCGAAAAATTCAATCAGCCGAATTTCAGCAAAACACCCAAAAAGGTATACGTTTCGGTATTTTCGGTATTTGTTTGTACCAGAGTTGTCGCGAATATTCGCATTCGCATTCGCAACCGCGGAGCTTCCGCATTAATTTTAACATTCGCATTCGCAAAAATCAATGCGGATCTTTTGCGATGTAAGGGCCGGTTACTCAATGTCTGGTTAACACTAATCTCCGGTTAAACATAGTTATCGACGTTACCGACTCCCTGTTGTATGCAAAAGGGTGAGAAAATACCTTTCCAATGACACCTCTTAAGTCTAAATCGGAAGAGTTTAGGTTCAGTTATTCAAGTTTTTCCTATGCCAATCTTTGAAAAAAGTTAAAAAACATCATCAAAAATCTCATCAATACGATTCCGTTCAATTTCTTTTTTTTTTAATATCTTTATGCAAATATTTTAAGCTTAAACCGTGTTTTAATTTGAGGGGACTTTTTCAAAAAAAATCATTAAGAAACTATTTTTATTCATAAAAAACTCAAT